GAACACCAAACCCCAAAAAAAAAAAACCCACAAAAAAAAAAAAAAAAAAAAAAAAGGCCCCATTGGGATAGGGGAGCCATAAAGTAAGTAAAATTCCAAAACTCAAGACTAATTGAATATAAAAGCCCAGAGACAGGAAAGACTCGAGGACAATCCCCAGTGCCAGGATTATCCGAGGACAAGGAAAGGGAATAGCAGCAGCTATTAAGGGAAAAGATATGAAAGGAATAAGAAGAAACAACATCAAACCCTAGTAGCATTTATAGACTTTAATCAAAATGGCATAATCAAAATGAAAATATGTGAAGAATTCTTTTTTACTCACCTCAGAATCACAGCTGCTAAAGCTAACAACAGCAGAATTTTTATCCACATCAAGTAAATCTAAATAAAGTGAAAAAAACACCAATGGTCAGGATTAAAAAAAAAAAAAAAAAAAAAAAAGAAAAACAGATTCAGATAGAAAAACTAAAAATATTCACAAAATATGTTTTCTGTAAAGGCTCTTCTTAGCTATAACACGTTCATCTTTAAATCTGAGTCTTAATTCTCTTAATTTATCCTTGAAAGTATTACTTAAAAAAATAAATACAATAAAAAGTTATTTTACAATCACCCCCTTTTCATATTTGGTTTATCAGAAAATCATAGACTATCATTTCTTTCCATCCTCATAAAAGCATAAATCTTTCATAAAAAGTTATTTTACAATCACCCCCTTTTCAGATATGGTTTATCAGAAAATCATAGACTATCATTTTTTCCATCCTCATAAAAGCATAATCTTCCGATGTATTTTTGTCAGTGGTAAAAATGTTACCATAGGCTATAAATAACTATTACCATTCTGATTTTATCAGTTCATTCTTATCCATTTCAATTTCACCCATAACACAGGGAAAAGACACTTTTTAGTGTCCTCTGGAGAGAAGGTTCCTAGGTCGAGGCTGCTGTGTCCTGTGAGTGGAGCTCCTAGAACTGATCCTGCAGCAGCCTGTGGCCAACACTACTCCAGAGTGCTTCCTCCCTTAAATTCTAACTAATGATTTGACCTCTCCACCACATCTTTCTAAACCTTGTCTTTGTCCTCCTCCAATTTATTCTTTGGGGTTTTCCATCTTTGGCATGTTTTACACTCATGCTATTACCAGCTTTTTGTAGTTCCTGAATTTCTCCCTACACATAAAAGAATGAATGAAGGAAGGAATGGAGTTGTACCATATTATCCCAAAATTTCACCCTTTGGGATTGTCCACTTCGCCTACTGACCCACCCTAGAACCTACTGGGCTAATAAGTAAGCCGTGGTGTAAGCTATCACCTTAGTGTTTAGGGCTTAAACATAGTTCTAAAAGGTTCATGTTAAATACTAGAGTTTTCTAATTCACAACTTTATTAGAAATTCTTCCAGAAGGCAGCCAACAAAGAAAAACCTTTCTATCTCTTCCTGAAACTTAAGTCCATCCATCTTTTGTATATTAAGTACAGGATAAATAAAAAGAAAATATATCATTCAAATAATCTATGTGCAAAATAATCATCTAATGGAAGATTAAGAAGCCATCAATATTTCAAATTATTATCAAACTAAAAGTGTTCAATAATTCATGCATTAGACTGGTTTGCAAAATAGATCCAGTCATAAAACAAATGTAGACACTTTGCTCACCTGTATTAAGACATTATCTATTGCAGTTTGCACCTCTAAGATAAGGCTGTAGCTCGCATCATCTTTACTTAGTGTAAATTTGTCGTTTATGCTAAATGAGGGTACTGCTGATTTGGCTTTGCTCGACTGTGAGGACTGCTGATAGTTCTCTCTTTCCTGCAGGACCTTATACTGCAGATGTTCCAACTCACTCCTGGAGGAAAATACACACAACTCGTCACCCACAAGTATACACATCTGAAGTTCTTGGACTGTTGGAGAAATTGGAAAATTTACTTCTGCAAAATGTAAGGTGGTTGAGTGAGAACCACAGCACTGAAGGGACCAGCAGATGGTGACATGGTTACATCGCTGGACTCTCACACAGTCAACCATGGTTCAGGTCTCAGACTGGGAGGCTTAAAACTCACACCAGCCTTGTGTGCGTGTGTGCCCAAAATTCTGAGAGGAGAATGGAGAAGAAGGGACTGTGGCATGGCTGTACCCCTGGAGGGGGATGATTTCTCACTTTCTGACTCTCTTGCTCACCTGTATTAAGACATTATCTATTGCAGTTTGCACCTCTAAGATAAGGCTGTAGCTCGCATCATCTTTACTTAGTGTAAATTTGTCGTTTATGCTAAATGAGGGTACTGCTGATTTGGCTTTGCTCGACTGTGAGGACTGCTGATAGTTCTCTCTTTCCTGCAGGACCTTATACTGCAGATGTTCCAACTCACTCCTGGAGGAAAATACACACAACTCGTCACCCACAAGTATACACATCTGAAGTTCTTGGACTGTTGGAGAAATTGGAAAATTTACTTCTGCAAAATGTAAGGTGGTTGAGTGAGAACCACAGCACTGAAGGGACCAGCAGATGGTGACATGGTTACATCGCTGGACTCTCACACAGTCAACCATGGTTCAGGTCTCAGACTGGGAGGCTTAAAACTCACACCAGCCTTGTGTGCGTGTGTGCCCAAAATTCTGAGAGGAGAATGGAGAAGAAGGGACTGTGGCATGGCTGTACCCCTGGAGGGGGATGATTTCTCACTTTCTGACTCTCTGTCTCTCCAGCGAGCACACACACCCAATGGCAAAAATCTCTCTTAAGAAAAAACAAAGAAAGAAAGAAAAAAGAACTACAGCACTGATAGGAAAAAAAAAAAAAAATCTTTGCCTCTCTGATGGACCAAATGATTCCGTGACTTATCCCCAATCTAAAACGTAAAGCATCTACGCAGTCCCATACCAGTGATATGAATCAGGAGCTGAAGTATCAAGGCAGGTTGCAAATAATCGATTCTAACCCGTGCATCTGGCTACAGCTGCACACAGTACGAGTCAGAGTAACTGACAGCCCGAGTCAGAAGAGGAACTAACATGGCAGAAGAACGGGTTAGACCTAACAAGAAGAAACAGACTGTGTGAAGCCAGTAAACATGTACCTTTCAGTCAGATATTAGGGGAGATGACCAGATAAGGAGGCGGCTGCAGACTGAGCCATTTCGGGGAGTCATAAGGATGATTGTGAGCCAATGATACAGCTTAAGTTCTGCCAAGGGCTACAAAAGATTCTGCTGAAACTAAGTGTACAAGGGTGGCTTGAGTAGCTCCAGTTAAGGGGCAAGGCCACATGCAGATGAAGCAAACAATATCAGGGTAGAATAAAATGAGGTTCGATTAGACCCAATTTAAGGGGAAAAATCCGTGGATGAGCTTAGAAGGGATGTGTGCAATGAACAAAGAAAAAGGTTCAGTCACTCAAGAACTACTTAGTGCTAAATTACTACCTATTTATTCCTAAGTACCTAAGTGTTCCGGTGCTAAAAGAGGCAAGCACAAGCTCCCTATGGGATTACATCAGGTGGAATCATGAGTGAGTGGACTTGGTTATAAACAACAGGTACTGGGGTGAGGATACCTCAGAACTCCACTAAGTTTAGCTAGAGCTGAAGTGATGAGAGAAGTCACTGGAAGTTTCAGTAACTCTTACTTCCTCATGTATAAAGCAACCTGATGTGAATCTGGGGGTCCCTTCTCAGAGAACATGTCCAATTACACAGGCAGGAGAGCCATCTTTGTATCTAAGAGAGTCAATATCACTTAGTTCCAGTGAGAAAACGCATAAGCCAAAGTCAAAGACTCAGAAAGGCCCATCAGAACTCCATGGTAGAGACTGAAAGACTGGAGAACATAAAAGCATTAAAAAATGTAATGGACACTAGGGACAAAGTGGAAAGAGAGTGTGGGAGGGGAAGAGCCTAGGAAAGGAATTCGGGGGAAAATTAGAAAAGTAAGACACTTGTGGGACGCAAATAAGGGTTATTATCTGTTGACGAGGATGTGCATAGTATTCTCAACTGGGCTGGACTGAGGTGTACATCATGCTTGGTAAAGTCTCTCTCTATATTCTAAATGATGTATAGCAAATAAATGTATGAATAATAATAATTAATATATAAATTTAATTTTAAAAAAAGCAAGGAACACTAGGAAAATGAAAAATACAGCCATCCATGTGGGTTTCTTTCCAACATTTGAGCAAAACAAAAACAAAAATCTGCAACTATCTATCTATGACTCAGCATGAAAGAAACAAAGCACCTGATCTAAGAGAAAGTCAGTATAGAATAATGCATACAAAAAGCATATTTCTAGCTGCAAACTCCAATCAGCATTTACTACAAATTTTCTTATACTCATCAGTTTTCATTTTAAAAGGTGACAAACCAAAAAGCAACAGCCAAACATGTCATGAAATGAAAATAAAGTAGACAAAAAAAATCCCGAGTTACCGTAAAGTAGAAATTTTATTCTGCATCTCCTGGTTAATTTTTAGTTCTTCTCCTGGCCCACTTTCCTTATGGATGGGCTCCGTGGTCAGACCCGTAACCCAACCTGCAGAGGTGAAGTATAATCAGGCACTATTTGGTGCTGCTAGTGTGAAAAGAGATTTATTACACACAGTGTAGCGGAAACCCCTACACACAAACCCACCCTAGCCCTAGGACTTGTTTAAAAAGTAAGACAAAACTGAAAACAAACAAAAATCAAGCTAGAAAATACTCAAACCTCAGAGGAATTACCCAGCATTTTTTGATACTTTTTTAATGACCTGGAACCATATCATAACACTATAATTAAGAATCTTGCACTTCTTAACAGTTTTTGTTTCCAAGTATGGGATAAATCAAATAATTTAAACAAATTCAAATAGAGCTGCCAAATAAGAACTGCCTTTCAAAATTACTTTCATGGACATTTAAACTCTCATGTGACTACCATGAGAATGTAAAAAATTACCTACTCTCAAGCAAGCAAGTTTGTATAAGCGATGTTCATAGTCCCAAACCTACATTCAATTTCAGTAAATACTTCTCTATAAACTGAAGAATATAATTTAATTTTCAAAGGTACTAGAGACATACTAAACACTCCTAAAATGTAGTATTCAAACATTCACTGTTTTTTATAAATGAACAAGCCTATTCCTCTCTCCTTATTTTGTAACCAGTAAAGTTGTTAATGCTGTGAACAAGAATGATTTATTAGTAATTTTTCAAGTGGCCATCAAAAACAATTTATTAAATTTATATTTTTAGTTACTGGTTCTTTCTCAAACTACCTACTGTCATTTACTTTACCTGAATATGTAGACACCACAATTTCATCATAGCCATCTTTTCCTACACAACCGCCCTGGACAGATGTGACACTTTCAGACAACATCTAAAATAAACGGGACAGCAAACGCTTCATTAAGAAGAAAATCAGACATGCTAAAATGAGCCACAAAACCTATTTACTATCCCCAGACATTCAATATATGAGGGGTCTTTGGAAAGTAAATGGAAAATGTACATTAGGGAAAAACTATGGATAGATTTCAAATATTTTTGCATGAAAATTACTTGAATTTGTTAGAATGCTTTCACTTATTCCACACTTGCGAAAATTATTAAGAAATGAAAGACTCTAGGGCCCAGCAGATGGCATAGCAGTTACATCACTGGACTCTCACGTAGTTGGCTATGGTTTGAGTCCTGGATCCGGAAGCTTAAAACTCACCAGGCATGCATAAATGTGTGGAAAAAATTCTCTAAAAAAAAAACACAAATGACTCTCTTGATTATAGTGTTATGAAAAATTTTAGGCAAAGTTATTTCTCATACAGCTGGCCCAAGTGGCTAAAAGTGAAACTGCTACTTGTTCCTTCTGCCTAAGGATATTTTTGACACTATTCTTTTTTTTTCTTAAGAGCGATTTTTGCTACAGGGTGTGTGCACTTGCTGGAGAGACAGAGAGACAGAACGTGAGAAATCATCCCCCTGCTCCCAGTGGTGATGTCCATGCCACAATCTCTTCTTCTCCATTCTTCTCTTGGGATTTTGGGCGCACACACACACCTAGAATAAGCTTTTTTTTTTTAAGAAGGATTTTTGCTATAGATGCACATGCTCGCTGAAGAGACAGAGGCAGAAAGCAAAAAAATCACATCCCAGGGAGGATGGCCACTCTTCAATCTCTTCTCTTCCATTCTTCTCTCAGATAATCTTGGGATTTTGGGCAAGCACGCACATGTGCCTGGCATGAGTTTTAAGCCGCCAGGTCTAGGACTCAAACTGCAGTTGACTAGCTGGGAGTCCAGCAACATAACCATTATGTCTCCTGCTGACCCCTCTGATACTATTCTTAATCATATAAAGTTTATTCCTAAAAAGTTATTAATAACATTAAAAGAAGGTCTTATTTATGTTACCCGAACAATAAAAGCTACTCCTCTAATGTGTTATTATGCATTAGTGAAACTAAGGCAAAATAGTAATACTTTAAAAATTTATAATAATAATTAAAAAGATAATGAAAAAGTAATTTATTACTCAGCTTGAAGGCAACAGTCTATTATTCAAACACAAGACTAAAGATTATAATATCAAAATAACAACATTTTGAACCAAACACAAGATTTTATTATATTTTCACTTAAAATTCAAACCACCAGTCATCTTTCTAATGAACTGAAAAATACTAAGCATATGTAGTATTCTTTTTAAATGAACTTACTTGATCAAATTGTAGAACAGGCTCATTTGTATTATCAAAACTATATACTTCCACCATTCCGTCATCTCTTCCAACAAGCATATCTTTGACCCCATCACCCACAATGTCATAGCTGTCGATGCACAAAATACCTTTAAAAAAGATGTAAGTTGTAAGTTACTAATAACACTAATAGTTATTGTCAAGTATGTACCAAGTAAGAATGAAAATATGTATATACCAATTCAGAATGGAAGGAAAGAAAAACTGAGCATTGTCAGGCGCCCTTCCTTTTTCCACCCACATCCATGTTTCCAGGGCCTTAACTTTAATCTTCACGGCAATGGCCTCTAGGTTTACATCTCCCTCCAGCTCTGGCTTCTCCACAGAGCGCCACACTCATATATGCAATTCAGCATCTTCTTGTAGACATCTGCATTTCAAACCTCCAAGGCAAGTAAAAGGCTTCATACCCATCTTTACCACACCCCCTCTAAGCTGCTCCTTCTGCAGTCCTCTCCCATCTCAGTAAAGTACACCACCCAGTTGCTTAGACCAAAAATCTAGGCTATATCTCTGAGTCCTTCCTTTTTTCTCACTCCCCATATCAATCCCACTAGCTAATTCTAACTGTCCTACCTCCACAACATATACTGAAGTTGTCTCCTTTTCCTTTCCAGATACTGTTAGTCCATGTTAGTTCAGACTAGGCTACAGCCTAGATAGTTTAAATTCTAACTGCAACAATGACTTCTACCTGGTCGCCATGCTTCTAATTTGACCTTCTCCCCCCAGATTCATTCACCATGCAGTGTATTTTGTTTCAGTAAATTAGATCCTATCATACCCCAACTCAGTTCTCCAGTGGCTTCCCACTACACTTAGTTCAGAATTCCAGCTCTTTCCAAGGTTTACAAGGACCCACCTGATACGGCCCTATTCTCCCTCTCCCATTTCACTTCATGTCATGTTAATGCACTTGGCCACACTGGTCTTCTGGCTGTTCCTCAAATGAATCAAGCTGGTTACTGCCTTAAGTCCTCTCATTTTTCTTCTTCCTGGAACATTCTTTTCCCCTAAATCTTCACATTGTTATCTCATTTTCTTATCAATCAGATCTTAGCTAAAAAACATTTCTTCTGAGTAGCCTTATTTAACCACCCGGTCTAAAAGTAGCCCTCCTCCTCCGTTATCATGCTCTAATACACTGTCCTGTTGTATTTTCTCCAGGGAACTGGGTGAAGCTATCATAAATAGGCATTTGTTTACACTGACTTCTCTAACAAGTATTAATAGAATAAACAGATGAATAAATTTTCTATACATAATAGTCATCTTACAGGACCAGCAGTTAGCGTAATGGCTATGTCGCTGAACTCCCATGTAGCTGGCTGCAGTTCGAGTCTCGGATCCAGTGGCTTAAACTCACGCCAGGCGTGTGTGGGTGCATGTACCCAAGATCCTGAGAGGAGAATGGAGGAGAAGGGACTGCGGCATGGCCATTCCCCCTGGGGGGGGGGTGGTGATTTCTCACTTTCTATCTCTCTGTCTGTCTTTCTGGCAAGCGCACGTGCCCTATAGCAAAAACCTCTCAAAAAAGAAAAAAAAATGCAGCCATTTTGCCATAATAATCATCTTACTACCTACCAAGTCAGCCATAAATTCCTTAGGAAATAGGAATATTCCCTGACCATCTTCTTTGTCTCATACCACATACTCCCAGATTTCCATTAATTCACTACCCTGATTAAAGTGGATTTTAGCATAGAACAATGAATATTAGCCTATGAAGTCTATCTATCCCAAATTACTATTGGCTTTCCTTACTTAAAAACTTATGCCAGGGAACCAGCAGTTAGCATACTGGCTATGTCGCTGGACTCCCAGGTAGTCGACCGTGGTTCGCATCCTGGACCCGGTGGCTTGAAACTCATGCCGGGCGCGTGTGCATGCGTGCCCAAGATCCCGAGAGGAGAATGTAGGAGAAGGGATTGTGGCGTGACCATCCCCCCTGGGGGGGTGATTTCTCGCTTTCTGTCTCTATGTCTCTCTCTGTCTGTCTGGCGAGCGCACGCACCCTATAGCAAAAAAACCTCTCCAAAAAAAGAAAAAAAAAAAAAAAACTTATGCCAAAGGCCAGCAGGTGGCACGGTAGTTAAGGTACTAGACTCTCACATGGCTGACTGCGGTCTGAGTCCCACATTGGTAGTTTGCTTTCTCACTTTCCTTCTCTCTCTGTCTCTGTGTTTCTGGTGAATGCATATACCCTACAGCAAATTTTAAAATAACAATAATACAGGACCAGTAGTAGATGGTGTAATGGTTACATTGCAGGACTCCCATGTAGTTGACTGCAGTTCAAATCCCAGATCCAGTGACTTAAAACATGCCAGGAGCATGTGTGTGTGTGCCCAAAATCCTGAGAGGGGTGGAGGAGAAGAGATTACAGTGTGGCCATCCCCCCAGGGGGTGATTTCTCGCTTCTGTCTGTCTCTGTCTCTCCAGCGAGGGCATGCATGCTATAGCAAAAATCTCTCTAAAAGAAAATTAAATAAATAAAAATAAAAAATAAAATTAAATAATTATTTAATAAAAAAAATTATGCCAATCATCTGATAGACCTGATACTAAACAAATGGTAGACAGAGGCAGCTTGATGATTGCTAAGTCTGCTACAGAAAATGAACAAATAAAACAGGATTAAATAAACCATAATCACTGATTTCAGAATCTGAACTCTGTCAAAAGCATACCCCCTCTTTTTTTCTCATTTCGAATTTCCCACTTGTGTATTGGTTTGGATGTGGTGATCTGAATAAGTCCAAGTTTTCCATCTGATGTTCCAAACACAAGGTCTTCTCCAGAGTCACCTAGTTACAGGTCAAAATCAACGTATTAGATTTAACCAACAATTCATAATCTCTCTTTTAAATTAAAATATTTTCATGTGAAGAATCTCATTTAAAAATATGATAAACACACAGATAATTTGATCTGGGAGAATGATGATATTCATAGAATCTTATAAAAGTAAGAGATAAGACCCTTCCCTATCATCTAATTTCAAGATGAAGAAACTGAAAATTCTAAAGTTCAATAATTCATTACTGTGAGTTACCAGCAAGTAGAAGTATCTCAATTCCAGTTCGTGTTTTTCCTACAATTTCTCATTTTCACTTAGTATTTTTATAAACACATAGCTTATTGTGAAAACAATATTCGGATTACCTCCATTTCCACTGTGTAGAGCTAGGACAGTAGGTGGGCCAGGAACTTCAATTTCATACATTACATCAGATCCCTGAAGAACAAGTATTTAAAAACAGAAACTGAAGACAAATATAAAATAAGCATTCATGGATAACATCAATATTCACATATCATACTTGTAATAACGTCTAAAATTAAGCGGCTGAAAAAAATTAGGCCAGGATGGTTCATTTGCATCTGTTAGCAAGTTCACACATGTTAACTCACTTGAAAATAAAATAAATATAAAGTGTAAAGTGAAAATAAAATATATATAAAGTGTAAATATATATAAAATGTTAATAAGTTTGCACGTTAACTCATCTGAAAATAAAATATATATAAAGAGAAATGATTTATATCAGTCTCCACTTTAAATAATTTCCATTTAAAATATGTTATTTATCTAAAAATTTGACACTGGTAAGTTTTCCTGTCAAAACTCTCCAGAAATAAGTAATTTCTTCTGTCCCCTCCAGTGCCAACTGGAGGATTTTAGCATCAAGGACATTCAAACATTTAAACAGACCCAAAGATACTTCCTAAAAAAATGTTGGCCTTCCCTCTATGTATTACCAAAGCATACTCCTGTTAGAGGCAGGATGATCTATTTAGATAAGAAAATAAGTAAGGTTCTTCTACTTATCATTTTTTTCAGTGTTGCCCTTAGCAATGCTTGCCAATCAATGCATAGTATGTGTGCAGTTATGAAAGAATGGGGCAGCCCAGCTACGATGGCACAGGTGGTAGGGCACTGCTATGCAATACTGGAGCTGCACAGGAGGACTGGGTTCACACCCCAGATCACCCTGATCATCACAGATGCACCTGTGATCCTGGCTGGTGAGAAGGGTACATGGCGAAACCCTATCAATAGTACCTATCCGTGTGTGTGTGTGTGTGTGTCTGTGTGTGTGTTTCTTTCTCTCTCATAAAAAAAAAAAAAAAATTTTTAAATGAGATACAAGTACTTTTACTCATCCGAAAAAAAAAATCCAAGATAATGAGTCAATGAAAACATAACATATAAAATTACAGTCAACATGGCATACTATTTTTCAAAAAACATGTATCAAGGCCAGCAGGTAACACAGTGGTTGGGGCGCTGGACTCAGACATGGCAGGGACTGCAGTTCAAATCCTTGCTTGCTTTCTCATTTCCTCTCTCTGGTCAAATTTAAAAAATAATAATAATAATAAATAAAGTTAAATAACTCTAAAATTTAAAAACATAGTATTTACAATATAGGAGAACAATATACTTTATCTTTTATTAAAAATATCTTAAACTGGGATCAGCAGATGGCATAATGGTTATGTCGCAGGACTCCCAAGCAGGTGATCACAGTTCAAGTCCTGGACCCAGTGGCTTGAAATTCACATAGCATCACCATCCCGCTGGGGGTGATTTCTCACTTTCCCTCTTTCTCTCTGTCTCTCCAGTGAGCACACACAACCTATAGCAAAAATCTTTCTTTAAAAAAAAAAAAAAAAAACCTATATTGGGACTAGCAGGTGGCATAGTGATTAAGACAATAGACTCCTGCATGGTCAACTGTGGTTCAAGTCCCAGACCTGGCAACTTGAAACTCATGCCAGGGCACAGGTGCACCGTACATGCTCAGGTTGACCTGGAATCCAAACCCGGAGTTCCAGTGTGGCTTCAGTATCACATGATGGCCCCTACCACCTGTGCTATTGCAGTGGAGCCCACAGACAAGCTCTTTGACTACATCAACTATCATCCTGAGTTTCTGATTCAATTAGTCCACTGGTTATATGCTATTTACATTAAAACTTTAAGTGTCCTGTAGAACGTATGTGTCCATTTTATTAAAAGTCACTCTTAAGAATACACAGTAATAACAATGACCTGAAGCAGTTCTGTTAGCCAATTATGGTTTTTACAAGGAACATAGGACACCAAAATGATTGTTCCTTCTATCACTTACTTGTCTAACAAATATGTGCTGACTGCTGACTTTATTCTACACCTGGTCCTAAACACTGAATAAACTTATATATAACACCCTCTCTGAAACATCATTTCTTCCTTTGATTTCTGGGG